CATGGAGAGATGTGGGAGCAGAAAGCACAGCACAGACGGTGTCACAAGCCTCGAGGGAGCTCTGGCACTATGATACAAGACAGCAGGGACGTTCCTCCTGCGTGGGGCAGCACTAGAGCCCTGTATGGAGCCAGACCTGAGGGACGAGGGGGCAAGCAGGGCAGAGACGAGGACAGAATCTGTTTGTTCCCACTTGAACAAGGCCATCGAGGAGATGCTGGGGCAATGCTTCAGCCAGGCAGGGGTGAGACCGTTGCCCTGCAGTGGATCAGCCCCATTGGGGCAATGGGCAGCTGGCACGAGGCTAAAGTCTAACAGGAGACAACTAATAAAAATCACATGATTCTCCACAAAACCCTGCGTGATACCGGCTCAGGAGGCACCAAAGTCTGCCTGGAGCTCAGCATCAGCGCTGGAAAGGCCCCGTAGCACCAACCCTTTACACATTGTGTTGATAACACACCATAGGAGCTCCCCTTAACGCCCCTCACGTTCCAGGCACAGCAGGAGCCTGCTTCCTGGGAAGCCCATCCATGTCTCCGTTGTAACAACAAACATTATGTTTTTGCTGGGTAAACAGAAAGCAGTGTTGTCTGCAGCAGCAGGGAGCGTCTCTTAGGAACGGCTCCGGGCAGGAAAGGTCAGCTATTTCTCAATTCCTCACCTTTCTGCATCACTTTATTTGTGCCATCGCTGCTCCCACGTACCCCTTGCAGCCAACATTCCTGCATTAGTAGGTGTCTGTACATGGGGACCGACGACAGGATCAGACCCTTCCGACTTGGAAAAGGCTCTGCCATTACTCCATAGCAGAGACTGGTTACACTCAGGGCATGAGTGATGCCACCAATACCTGCAGCCACAGCTCCACAAACACCCTGTACGCCTTTTGCTGTTGTATTTTGGAGCGGCTTAAAGCCAGACACCCCTAACCCAGCCCTGGGCTGGGGCTCACACGCCACTGCCCTGGCTCCCTGTTGCTTTTCCCACCCGGTTTTACCGGCCCTGCAGGGCAAGGACGGGCCCGAGAGCTCCGGGACACTGCTCGGTTACGGGTCTGCCCCCGCTCGCCACCCAGCGCGGCTGGTAAGGAGCATTAACATAGGAACGGCATCAATAAACCAAAGGAGCCGGGGCGGGGCGCTCCGGGGGAGCCGCGCTTCGAGCAAAGCGAAAAAGAAAGAACCGAGAGCGAAACCACGCCGGGCGCCCGGGGGAGGCCGGCGCCGACACGGCGGCTGCCAACCAAGCCTGCTCGTTCGGCTGCGAGGCGACAACCGGGGCCGGTCCCGAGCCCCCCCCCATCTCCCTCCAACTTCCCAGCGCTCTGCCCCCGATCCCCCGTTTACCCTCTGCCCGCTGCTGGGCTCCCTCGCCGCGGGCTCCGCCGGCTCCGGGGCCGCCTGCCCGCCGCTCACGGAGGGCTCGGTGACCTCCCCGCCGTGCTTCTGCAGCTGCTGCTCATCGGTCGCTGAGTCCACGACGAGCAGGCTGACGGCACCGGCGGCGGCGCGGATGCGCTCCACCACCTGCTGATGGCTCTCCCGTTCCACGTTCTCGCCATCCACCTCCAGCAGCCGGTCCCCGGCGCGCAGCCCCGAGCGCTCGGCCGGTGAGCCCGGCTCCACCAGCCGGATGAACTGACCCGGCTTGCCCTTCTCGCCGTGCAGGTGGAAGCCGTACCCGTCCGGCCCCCGCTCCAGGCGGCAGAGCCGTGCCGCGGGGACCGCGCTGCTGCTCATGGCGGGTCCAAGCCTCCCGCCACCGCCCGACCCGTCCCACCGAGCACTCTGCGCTGCCGCCCCTCCCGTCCGCCAATCTTATACTGAGGGGCGGGGCGAGGGGTGACCGGACACCAATAGGAGAGCGGGGCGGGGCGAGGGCAGCCACACAAGGAAACGGTAGGCGTGGTCAACCCTATTTCGGGGCGTGGTTATGCAAATTAGACAAGGGTGGGGGGATGTTACTATGATCTCTCGTCATGACCGCAGGGTCCTAGCGCCGACAGCGGGGTCTTCGCAAGTCCCCGGGGCCACCTCCGCTGGGTCCCGGTAGCCAGCCGGGCCAGTCTCCTCTCACCGCTGACCCCTCACACTCCCTGTCCGTGGGCTGGCTCTTTCTCCCCCCGGGGTCACCGCGAACAGCCCCGACGGGGCACGGCCAGGAGAGGTGGCATGCACCAGCCTCTCGGAGCCCGAAGCTCCTGTCCCCTTGCCCGGCTCTCCAAGGCCGGTTCGACGGGGAGGGCTGGAGGGTGCTCGGTGCTTCAAATGTGAAGTAAAAACCCCAAAGTGAAACTGCGTGGGAAAGCAGCGCCGGAGGCCGCGCTCACCGGTAACCCGCTGTGCGGCGGAAACAGGAGAGCAACCCCCGGTCCCCCGAGCAGCACCGGGTCCCACTCGGTGCCTTGGAGCTGCGGGTCCCGAGGAAGGGAGGTGAAGGAAACCCTGGGAGGGAATTGCTCTGCCCCTACCCTGGACCCATGTGCGCTGTGGCAGCTTGGGAAGCAGAAATGGCTGCAGGGGGGGTTGTAAGAGTGAGATCCTGGTGTCTCCAGCGAGCCAGGGCAGAGCAAGGCAGCAGCGAGCCTGGACTCAAACTGGCCCCTGTCTCCCAGCGTTGTCCTGTGGAGGGTGGCACGGGGGTACCACTGGTGTGTCTCACGGCAGGGCTTCAGGCCTGGGTGAAGTTCAAGCTGGCCAAAGGTCCTCAGGACACCCGGGATCCCGTTTAACCATGCTGCAGGCGGTGAGCAAGGAGGTGACAGCAGCGCAGGACACGTCCCTCTGCGGCTCTGCACCAAGGCCCGGCTGCAGGGACCCCGGCGGGCGAGACACCCCCCGTGTGCTGGGGGTGGCCATGCTGCAGCTCCATGGGGCCGGGCTGGGAGCAGAGGGTGGGCTCATTTGTTTCCTCCACTTGGCTGAGCATTCGCTCAGCCCTGAGAAAGGCAGCGGAGAGGAATCCCACGGCAGCGGCAGCAGATGCCTGCGGAGAGGAAAACCGGGGCACGAGTGTCACAGTACAGCTCCAGGACAGGGGTTCCATTGCACAGCCCTCCCCTTGGAAAGGGGGGGAGTGTGGGGCACAGCTCCACAACCATGGGTGAGGACAGAGTGGGATGCTCTTTGGGGATGCTGCTCCAAGTCAGGAAACCAAACTCAGCCCCAAGAGGGCTGTTTTAAGCAGGGGACCACGATAAGAGGGAAAAGCAGCAGCACAGGAAACAGCCGGAGCTGCTTTTGGGTCCATGGTACTCCAGAGCGCCCATGGAGTGGCAGGGCACGGGCAGCACCGGCGCTGCCTCCTCCTACCACGGCCTTTGTGGCTCCCTGTGACGTTAAAGGAGCTTGGGCCGGAGGGGGGAAAGCAGAAAAGAGCCAACGTCTGTTTGTGTTGAAGCCATCCAGCATTTTCTGCAGACATCAGCCAAGCGGCCGCAGCCACGCCATTGGTGGGAAGACGGAGTTATTTGGGGAATGCTGGACTCCGCACCATGAGAACAGCAGGGGAGGAGGTTGGTTTTAATTTAACAGGCCCTGTTTGCTCTTCCCCTCTCACCTTTGGACTGGCTGAAGTGTATAATGAAAGCCTCAGTGGGGAGGAAGGGACCGCGGGTGCTTCTCCCGCCCCACGGCTGCTCTGGGGGGGCCCCGCAGCCCCATTGCTCTGCAGTGCTTGGCTGCAGGAGCCTCCCACGGTGCAGAGCCGGGGCAGGGATTTCTCACGCCATAAAACACCCAGGAGGAGGCAAAGCTTGGAAACACCCGGCTTTAATGTGAAAACTTGCAAAGAGAAACCCGGGAGCGGGGAAGCAGCAAAGGAGGCACCGGGGCAAGTAAAGAGATGGGCAGCAGGGGGGCAGAGAGAGGGGAACCACTGGTGGGGATGGATGTGCTGGGCACTGCCTGGCGTGCGGCTGTGCTGTCCCCTCTGCCACTGCCCTTCGCTTCAGGTCTTCATCTAAATACCAAATACCCCCTGCCCTGGGTAGTGCTGGGGGTGATGGAGCGTGATGGAGGGGTTGACGTGGCACTGGGGATGTGCAGTGATGCGGGGACAGAGCCTTGCAGCCTGGTGCCCAGTGTAGCAGCGTTTGCTGGCTGAAGCATCTCAGGCATCTTCTCTTCAGAGAGTGGGTTTTGGCTGCTGTTTGCCAGCAGCAGGAAGAAAAGGGCTGTATTCCATGTGCAGCGATGGGAGCCAGCAGGAGCAGCAGCCCCAGGCCAACCTGGCACCTGCACCCCATCAGCTCCAGCGTGAGGCCAGAGGTGGTTTTGTCTGGAGGGATTGGAAAGAAAAAGGCTTCTGTTGTTAATAAAAATGAAGTCTCTTAATTCCTGTGACTGCGTGAGAGGGGAAGTAAAGGTTTCTCCACATTGCTGTGTGCACTAGAAATGCCCCAAGTGCATTGGGGTGCTCCCAAGGGAGTCTCATTTCTCATGTCAGCTGCATGGGCAGGGAACAGGCTTGGCTGGATGCTTCCTCATCCCAGTCCCTCCCTCCAACAAGACTGGGACACAACAGGGACATCTCTGCCCTCATGGCGGCAGGAGGACAAAGCAGCAACCACAGCAGTGAGGAGCCCTGGCTGAGCGTGGTCATTGGCAGCACTGGGATGCAGGGGTTAGATCAGGCCCTTCCAGCTGGATGAGAGCAGTGCCAAGAGCAGGGATTGCTTCAGAGGAGGAGAGGGCCATGGGCTGCATGAGGGCTTGTCCATGGCACACATCCAACCCCTCCAGGCACTCCAAGGGGCCTTTAGTGAGGTGTGGAGCCACATCCTGCATCCTGCTTGGCTGATGGAGGCATCACGGTGGCTCCCTGCTGGGCTGGCAGCCATCGCACCATGGTTATTCCCAAGCATTGTCCCACAGGGCGGCAGGATCCTGATGCTGGGGTGATGTTTCTCCTCACTCCGCTGTATTGTCCTGCCCGCACTTGGCTGGTCAGAGGCTGGTTCCCACAGGATCTCAGGGGCAGGATCTGCTGTGTCCCCCTCCTGCCTCCCCCTTAGCTCTCAGGCGAAGGCACAGCAGCTGGATTTCCTCTGCTGCGCCTCGATGTACTCGTGGATCTGGAAGCGGGGCTCGTCCTGCGGCTGCACCGCGCGCTGCTTCAGCTCCCTGCGGCCATGGGACTGCATTAACCCCCCCTGAGCCGCTGGTGCTGCAGGAGACCCCCCGCACCCCCCCATACTCACTTGGCAATGGCCAGGAATGCCAGCTCCACGTTCATGCCCGTCTTGGCGCTTGTCTCCATGAAAGGCACCCCGTACTCCTGCAAGGGCAGCACAGCCCCATCACCCAGAGACCCAAACCCACCCCCTGCCCTTGTTGCCTGGCTGATGCTTGGGAGCAAGGTGCCATCCCCTCCCTACCTTGCCCCAGGTTATATGTGCCACGCTGCCTGTGCTAGAGCCAGGTCTGGGCACCCATCAGAGGGGCTGGCATGGCTGTGTGGGGACCATGCACAACGTGCAGTCATCTGGGGGGGCTGCAGCAGGGTTAGACCCCAGCATGGCTCACCCTGGCCAGTGATGCTCCGTCCTCTGTCCTCACGGCCCTCTCGCTGCTCACATCCGCCTGCCAAGGGAAGGGAGGTGTCACCACATACCAGGGCTGGCTGGCACCCTGGGGGTATCCTGGCAAGCACTATGGGGTGCAAAGGGGGCTGCCAGGAACTGCAGGAGTCAGGGACTGGAGAGCATCCGGTGCCCAGGGAATCCAGGAGCTGTTGAGCATCTGGGACCTGGGGGCATTGAGGATGGGGGCGGAATCTGCGACCTGGGGACACTGGGGACCTAGGGCAGCATCCGGTACTTGGACCCAGAAGGGGCCTCCTGGAACCCTGCTGGGCATCAAGTACCCAGCTTCATCCAGGAACCAAGGGGAATCCAGTCCCAGGGGAAAATCCATAACCCAGTTGGGCACTGGAAAACTGGAACTTCCAGAGAACAAGGGATCCGGTCGGCCTTCTGGGGCTTGGGGCTACCTGAGATCTGGGGGTGCATCCAGGCCCTGGGTGGGCATCCCATACACTGCAGCATCCCATACCCTGCAGCATCCGGTATGTAGCAGCATCCCATACCGGGAGCCTCAGCCTGGTGCTGCCCTCCACTGGCTGCCGGGAACACTGGTCCTGTCACACCCTCCTGACCCCCCACATCTCTGGGGTCACCTCTGGGCCTGGATGAGCCCAGAAAGCACCAGAGCCCGGCAGAGGGTGCAGGCAGGATGCACCCACCGAGCCGCATCCCTCCATAGCCATGGGGATGGCAAGGGCTGGGCTGGCAGAGCAGAGCACAGCAAACCACGGGGGGAAAGGACACCCTGCACGCACCTTGTTGCCCAGCAGCATGATGACCACGTCCTTCTGGGCGTACTCATGGATCTCCGTCAGCCAGGCCTGTGGGGCAGCGGGGCTGTGTTGGGGTGAGCGGTGCATCCATCCCTCCCCTCCCAGCCCTCACCCGCTGCCATGAGATAGGGGAAAGTGACTTTAACATGGGAACCATTCCAGCATCACAGCTGACCAGTCCCCAGAACACCCCATCTCCTGGCTGCAGCCCAAGTCTATGCATAGTTCATCCCACCCCAAACCTCTAGCACCCAGCCATGCAGCACCCAGCCAAGCATCCCTGGGGAATAGCTCCTGCCTGGCTGGGTCTGGCCACAACAGAGAGCTTTTACATGTCAACCAGGCTTCAAACTGCCCCAAACAGGGCACCCACGAGAACAATCCCTGGGGAAAACCATGCTCCCGACCCACAGAGGGGACTCACACGGATGTTGTCAAAGGACATCTTGCTGGTGATATCATAGAGCAGGAGCAGGGCTGGAAGGGAAGAGGCAGAGGCATGGCCCTGCTGCAGGGATGCTCTCTGGCTGGTCTCCCCCATCCCTGCTGGGCACCAAACCCACCTTGGGCATCCCTGTAGTAGGCATGGGTGACGCTGCGGAAGCGCTCCTGTCCTGCTGTGTCCCAGATCTGCTGAGAAGCCACCCCGGTGAGAGCAGGGAGAGGAGCCCCCTGGCATGGGGATGCCCCAATGGCTCCAAGCGGACACCGCGCTCAGCCTGGGGAGGGTGTTCCAGCAATCCTTATGGGAATTGCTCATCCCCTCCCGAAGCTCACCTGCAACTTCACCTTCACACCATCCACAGACACCACTTTGTTCTGCAGAAGAGAAGGAGAACCCATCCATCAGTGTTGGCACGGATGCCATCCAGCCCCAGTGTGGAGCATCCATGCCCCATCCCCTTGACTGCTTGCCCCTGGTTGGTGGGATGAAGCCAGGCTGCCCATGGAGCTGCACATTGAAGCCTCATTGCTACAAACCACAGCCCTGCTGTGGGGCTGCAGCTACAGGAGCATCCCAGAGCAGCATCCCCTTGTGCCAGGGTGGAAAAGAGCAGATTCAGGCTCTGATGGAAACGGGACAAGATCCCAGCCTGTTTTAGATGCAGTGCCTCACTTATCTCCTACAGCCAGCACCCCATGTGGCTCCTAAGGGCTGGCTGATGATGCAGGGGGGGTGCAGGTAGAACGTGGCTTTATCCAGCACAGCAGGAGGAAATCTCACTGTTAGGGTGGTTTGAGACGGGGCTGGGACTGGGAAAGGAAGACACGTTTGCAAGTGAGCAGGGGAGGCAGTTATCAGAGCTTAAGCAACCACTGTATTCAACTTGGAAGTGCAGGGACTTCTCCCTAGAGGCCAGAAGGAAGCAGAGCAGGGGTTACTGCAGGGCTATTGTAAGGCTCTTGAAGAACCGTGGTTGGAGTCTGGAAAGAGAGGAGCCCCATAAATAATTTGGTTGCCTGGAATTGTTTGAAAGGGAAATTCAGCCCATGTGGAGATGAAACAGCCTGAGCGAATGGGCTGAATGGAGCAAAACCAGGCCCTGGGAGACTGGAAATGACCTAAAGCAGGGAGATGCTGCAGGGGATGCTCGCACAAGGCACCTATGAATTGGTAACACCCCAGCAATGGGATGTGGCGTTTTCCCTCTCCCATGGCTTTGGTGGTAGAAGAGGCCACAAGACCCCCCCAAAGCAAACCCAGCCCCTGCTCCTCACCCCCTGCAAGCCAAGAGCAGCCTAAAGGCAGCAGAGAACCGGAGCAACTGCAGCTGCGGAGGCAGAGGAAGCGCCAACCACACACAGCCACACTCGACACGTGCCTGCAGCCACAGCAGAGCCCTTCACTTCCATCCTGCTCAAACCCCTGCTGCAAACACAGCCAGCCCCTGCATCCCCTGCAGCTGGGACTGGGGAGCAGAGAGCAATGGGGAGGGTTTCAAGGGGATCCTGTGGCCATAACAACTCCTCAGCAGCCAATTTCAGCCCTTTCAAGGCATAAAACTACCCCAACCATGTTTGTCCCCACCAGTGGAATGTGCTGGTCACCCACTGCACGCCCCAGCCCACGCAGCCACCAGATGGGCTAAACCAAGGCTGTTTGCTGATGTAAAGACAAGACGTGATGCTTCCAGCGGGCTCTTGTGTCTGTTACCGCTCTCCCAGGGAGAGGTGGAAGGGTTTCAGGTGGTGCCTGCTGGTGCTTGGGGTGCAGAGGCTGGAAACCCTGCATCCCCCCTCCCCTGGGCCCCATCCTGGCTGAGGTGTAAGCGAGGGGAGGCGAGGGGCCGGCAGCTGTGGGGTCTCACCCGGAAATCTATGCCCACGGTGGCTATGAACATCCCGGAGAGAAAGGCCCCGTCTTTGAACTGGAGCAGGAAGCAGGTTTTCCCCACGCCCGAGTCTCCAAGCAGCATCACCTGAAAGATGCATGCAGGGAGAGGTGTCAGCGGGGCCGGGATGCAGCAGCATCGCTGGGGTGATGCTGACCCCCTCCTCCAGGTCCCCTCTCTCCCTCTGGTTGGGCTGATTCTGATGGGTTGGGGATGGGATGGGACCCCCGGGGGGTGCACCAAGGGGTTGGAACTGGATGATTTCAAGGTCCTTTCCAACCCTATTGCATGATTCTATGATGCATGGCTTGGGCAAGCCCCGCCGTGTCCAGGACTCTCACCCTGCTGGTGCAGACACCAAAGCAAACACAGCTCCTTTTCCCCTCCTGCTAAGCAAACAGGCTCAGCCTGGGCTCCCCGGCACTGACGGAGCTGGGCGGGCAGCACCCCGGACCGATGCTGGTCTCCATAACCACATCCTTATCCAACGCCCCGATGCCCTGCTCTCCTTCCTGCTTGCAGGCAGCAGCCCTTTCCTGCCCAGCAATAATTAACCTGATGGTGACTTTATCTACTCCCTGCCTAAAAACAGGAGTGTGCAGGACTCCATCAGGAAGGTCCATCCCCACAAGCCCACCCTGGAGCCTGCCAAGAGAACCCACACAGCTCCACTGCCCCCATTGAACACAGTGAGCCACGGCCACCCTCCTGGACCAGCACAGCCAGAGCTGGGGGCTGGACAAGCTCTGCCTCCTTCCAATTCACTTTGCGGGTCAAATCCTGCTCCAGGACACCCTGACCCAGTCCAGGCAGCTGGGAACACTGCTCGGTTCTGCCTCCACCTCACTCCAGGTCAAGCTGGCAATTGAATTCCTCCCTCTGACACAAAAATTGCCCTCCACTGAAAGGAGGCGGAGCGGGGAGGATAAAGGCAAAGGAATAAAAGTGGTTTAGGGTGGCTGTGGGGGCTGGCTCGGCTCCGGGGCACGCACACTGCCCCTGTCCCCACTGCCCTTGGGATGCTGCGATGGGCTGAATGGAGTCCTGCATCCCTGCCCTGTATGATGGGGACACCACTGCCGAGCTGGCTGGAGCCCCCTTGCCCGGAGAAGGACAGGACCGGCTTTCAGAGGCCTCCCCCTGTCTCCTCCACCTCCCGGGGGGCAGCTGGGCCCTCATCCCCACATGGGGGCTCCCCCAAGGGCAGGGGCGGGCAGCGCTGGGGATGGCTCCGCTGGGATCGCCGCTTCCTTCCCCCTTCCCCTTCCCCGGTCCGCAGCCGCTTCCTGGGCGCGATCGCGGGACCCGATCCCGGGACCCCCTCCGGGTCTCCCACCCCCCCCCAGACCCCTCAGCCTCCACCCCGACAGGGCCTGGGGGGGTCCGTTCTTGCCCCCCTCGCCGCCTCCCACCTTGCCGCACAGCTCGTAGTCCCGGGGCAGCGCCGGCAGGGTCCCGCTCCCCTCCGCAGGGTCCCCACTGTCTGCCGGGGGGGTCCCGGTCTCTGCCGCCCCGTTGGGGCCGCTCATGGTGCGCCCGAGGGGAGCCGCCGAGTCCCGACGCGGCGGGGCCAGAGGGAGCCGCGGACCCCACCCGCGCCTTCCTCCTCCTCTTCCTCCTCCTCCCCAGGCAGTGCCACCCCCCCGCTGCTGCGCTCCGGCCGCCTCCCTGCCCAGCCCGGCCAAGGGGTGAGGAAGGGAAGGCTCAAGGCTGGAAACTTGCCCCCTGCATCAGGGACCCCAGGATGCTTGGGTCTGCCGGGGGCTCGGTGGCACCGGACAGCAGGCACAGCCCTGGTGCATCCCTCTGGGTATATGGATGGGGAGAGGAGAAGCAACTGCTCACTCTACAAGTAAACAGCCTCTTGTACCCCATTTGGGGATGGAGACCCCAAACCAGCCCTGCCACACCAGATCAGTGGGGATCCCTCCAGCCCACCTCAGGGTGAGGTTTTGCCCCGGGTTAGCATCAAGGCGCAGTGAGACCAGGAGGGAAGTGAAGCAGCACCCATCAGCCGGAAGCCAAGCGCTGCGGGAAGCCGGTGCCGGGATGGCTGCCGTGGCTCCTGTGTCCTCAGCTGCTCAGAGCCCCCAGCATCCTGCACCAGGCACTGGGGCACCGCTTCTGTGCTCTTCATGTGGGGAAAGATCCAGGGATGTGTTACCCAAAAACTCACTCCACAAAACCCCATCCAGGTCCACGCTCTGTGTGTCTCCAGCACTGCTCCACAGACAGGAGCCTTCAGCCCCTCTCATTTATTCTCCATGGGATACACAGCCCATCTCCCCCGCATCAGGCCTGATCTCAATGCAACCCCACATCCCTGCTCACACTGATGGGGTTCAGAGCCCCTCAACACTGTTAGGGTGAAGGCAATGCCCTCTGTGGCAGCACCCACCCCTGCCGCCAGCTCCTTCTCCAGCCAAGCCTTCCCCTGCCCCTCGGGAAAGGGAACCTGTATTTCCAGTCCTGTAGCTCGAACCAGACCAGATTTATAGTTTATGCGCACTCTTTGGCCACAAAGTGCCCAGAGCTGAAGGCAGGAGGCACTCGGAGTTCCTGGAAGTGGCTGAGCTCCCCTGCAGCTCGCTGGGGAGGGAGGCTGGAAGGACAGGGCAAGCCACACCGGTGCTCACGGAGCTGTGTAGGCAGGAGCGCCTGGCTGAGCATCACCTCCACACGTGGCATGCAGAAGCATCCCATTTACAGCTGGGAGCTGGCAGAGATCAGCAATGTGCCTGAGCCTCCTCTGCCTGCCCAGGGCTCGGCACTGCATGGGCACCCCATGCTGGTACCACAGTTCTCTGCTTCCTTAGCCTCGACCAGAGACAAAACCCATGTAGGTAACAGCCTCTTCATGGGGGACAGGCATCCTGTGGGTAAAAACCTCATCATGGATGCTGGAGGGATGCTGTGCAGGGAGGTCCCAAGCGGTCTCTGTCCCAGGCTCTCTCAGGAGAGGGGACACACACACACTGGAGCCACTCAGTGGCCCTGTGGCAGCTCTGCACATAGCACTGGATAGTGGCCAACTGCCTTTCCCAGGTGCTGCTGCCATCGGCCTGACTATTCCCTGCCTGGGCTGCAGACAGGACACGCACCCAGGCACAGCCTCACAGAGGGTATTGGGATGTGAAGCCTCATCCATCCTCCATCCTTGCCAGCAGCCCCCAGCAAGCAGACAGCCAAACCAGCCCCTCAAAGCAAATGACTCCAAGTCTTCATGCTTAGCACTACTTAAAGCATCATGGATTGTGATTACCCGAATAAAACAGCTTTCCCAAGGGTGAGTGAGGTTGGACAACGCAGGGACCAGGGGCTGGGCTCTTACCGTAAACCCAATGCCCACGGTAGCAGAGAAGGAGCCAGGGATGAACTTGCCCTGGTCAAACTGGACCAGCAGAGATGTCTTCCCCACGCCGCTGTCTCCCACCAGGATTGTCTGTAAGGACCAGGTAAAGAGGCATCAGCACAGGGAGCAGATGTGGTGTGCAGGCAGAGGCAGCCTTGGCTTGCACAGCCCTGGTGGAAAACCTCTCTGGGAGGACTCTGGCAGCGCTGGATTGGGTCCAGACCGGTTTAGTGAAGACAGCATCTCCCACAGCGGCTGCACGCAGCCATTGCCACAGCCACGCAGCCTCTCGGGGCACCGGGCTGCTTTCATGCCGCATTAACACAGTGCTTCCCTCTGGATTTGAGGCCATGGAGCCCCTCTGCCTCTCCAGCCCTGCATGGGCTCTCCCATAGGGAGCAAAGCTTGCTCGGCCCCAGGCAGAAGGAGCTGTGCAGGTGTCAGAGATGAGACCTTGCCATCACCTCTGGAGCAGCTCCCAGGCTGCCAACCCATAGCTCTGGTACCCACACCGCATCCCTGGGGAGCCCATCCTCCCTTCTGCTCCTGCCAGGGTTCATTCAAATCCCCAGCCTAAGGGACACCAACAGTGCAAACACAAACCCCTCCCTCTCTGCCTGTATCTGGGTTTTGTTTGCAGAGCCACCGGCACAAACATCCCCATCCTCTCAGGAAACTGATGCACTTTCAACCCTTTTACAGAGACACAAGTGAAAACAAACACGCTGATAACTGGCTTCTTGCTCTGAAGCTGTTTTGGCAACACACGGTGTCTTTCAGGACAATGGTGTTCCTGTGGCTGCAGCCCTGGCAAGCACTGAGACATCCCAGTGTCCCCCTCTCCCCTGCCACCCCTGTAGCTGCTGGTACCTCCCCACTCTGTGCTGCACTTCTCTGTATCTGTTGTTTCTCCCTTTGATTTATGCTTAGTCTGATGCAACTCCATCAGCCCTGCTCCATCCCAGGGCACCCCAGCCATTCATCCCCTCCCTCTGTGACACTGTGAGGGTCACTCTTCACCTTCAAGATGCAGGAGCATCTTCCTGATGCACAGGGGAGCCTCTATGTGCGGTTAGTCCCATCCCTCCATCACCTCCCTGCACCCAGGGCAGGGTGAAACCCAACCTGGCATCACTCGAGGCACTGCACACATCCCTTTGTGCAGTGCAGTGTGAAGGAACACATTTGATCGAGTGCCCGAATATCCCCAGCAGATCAAACCTTGATGTCATGCCCCAGGAGGCCACTGCCACAGGCCACAATGCCCAGCACTATGGTTCCTGCCACCCCACAGGAACCCAAAGGAGTGGGAAGCAACCAAAACCCAAAGAGCTTGAAGACTATAAACAGGAACATGGGCTGGCAGGAGACCAGCATCCTGCCTTGCACGAATCACTGCACCACAACCCGCCTGGAGCCTGTTAACCCGAGCCACTGGCTCACGCTCCACTGAAACGCTCGCTCCAGTGAATCAGCGTTTTCCCTTGGAAAGAAACATCCCAAACCTCTCTGGGAAGCACCTCTATCAGATGCACACTGCTGCATAGACCTGGGTGCTGAGAGGCAGCAACCCATGGCCACAGATTCCTCCCTCCTCCCTAAGTAGATGCGAAGCTGTTTGCAGGTCACTTGTGCATTCAGAGCAGCCTCATGGCCTGGGAGCTTGCACAGGAGCTGGGGGCATGTTGTGAGGCAGAAACCTCCAAGCAAAGCCCTTGCACATGGGCCAGAGGAGCTGGGTCACCCCTTGCATATGGGGGGAATCTCCCTGTCCAAGACCCCCTTTAGCTTTGCCCTGGGGTCCGGACACAAGCCCTGTGTAAAGAGCAGGATCTGAGGCAGCCACATACAAGAACACCCCAAGAATTCATGACCATGGGGCTCCCGCACCCCAGTGCTGCATTGTTTGGTGCTACACCCTTTTCCCAGTAAAAGACTGGTGCTGGGAGGGGCAACAGAACCAGCTGCACCCTGCAGCGCTGTCCTTGGGAGCAGTTAATGCAGGGAACAGCATTAATTATGGAGGGAGGAGAGCTGGCTGGAACGAGCACCAGGAAGCCTCCAGAGCCCAGGATTTACAGAGCACGTACAGAAAGCAGACTCTCATAACAATTTAACTGGGCTTTATAATGGAGCCAACTCATGAATTGCTTCATGACTATTAGTAATAATACTATTAGTAATAATACTATTAGTAATAATAGTAAAAGTTGGTCTGAATCAGCCAGGAGTCTTTCCTAACGACTTCAGGACAAGCTGATGGGCTCTGTGGAGATACAGCACAGTGGAAATCACTGTGGCCTTCCTGGCTATGAAATGAGCATAGAGAAAGAACAAAACCCCACTGTGGAATGGATGTGGCTAACCAGTTACCAAAACCTCAGGCTCGACATGCTCAAATCACGATAGGAAGCAGCCTTGCAGTGACAAAGCTCCATAGCCACCCTGCCTCTTGTCAGCATCCTCAGCCACAGCCCGGCCTCCCCTTCATCCCATTGGCTTTTCCCAGGGCTTTCTTAGTGCCTGGAAAACTCTGGTAGAAAGTGGCAAGGTTCCCTTTGGTGCTGCAGCTTCCCTCTGGAAGGTGGCATGGGGATGGAGCAGTGCTTTGCTGGGGGGCACACACAGACAGGCACAGAGACCTGGGCAAGACCTGGAGAGCCACTCGGTGACAGTCCCAATGCACAGCTTGTAGCACACCCTGAGAGGACCTGTCTGCCAGCTCTACCTTAGGGAAAGAGCAAATACACTCCCCCCCCCTCAAATTAGTAGTTTTGGGGCTAACTGAGACCTAAATGAATCACCTTCCTTCAAAACACTGCTGGCTCAGCGTGGGCTGCAGGGACAAGGCAAAGCAATGGAGTGGTGAGGGCAAACCCACTCCCATCTGCTCTACCTGTGCTGGCAGTCAGTGAGCAAAGGAGGTGTTTTGGTCTAACATACCTAGGGAAGTTGGTTCCCAAGGAGGTTGTGAATGCTCCATCCCTGGCAGTGTTCAAGCCCAGGTTGGACAGAGCCTTGGGTGACATGGTTTAGTGTGAGGTGTCCCTGCCCATGGCAGAGGGCTGAAACTGGATGATCTTAAGGTGCTTTCCAACCCTAACTATTCTATGATTCAGGTACGGCTTTGCATAAGGAAGCAATTGCTGCATTTCCAGTGCCAGTCAAGCAGGAGGAAACCTGGGATAACACGTGTGGGTTGGGGTTATCTTCCCAGTTCACTTTTAAGCTTCAGCACACAAGAGCTGCACCCAAGCTAAATGTAGCCATGAGCCTGACAGCGTAAAACCCCAGTCTTGGGGGATGCAGGGAAGAGAGAGGTGCAGAATGGGGCACCAGGAGAGGTCTGGGAGCAAAGCTGTGACTGCTCTTGGCCCCTCACCACCTCTCAGGGTGCATTAATGAGACTTAGTTTATCTGCTCTATATATGGGATTGCACTACCTCTGCCCTGCTCCTTGCAGTGCTCCAGGGCAACCTGGACGCTGCCTCAGGCTGCCCTGTGCCACAGAGACACCTCAGGGCTGCTCCCACCCTCTCCAGGCACTGTTTAACGTTGCCTTGATCCCAGAGCTCTCTGCCAGCCCCACTGGCCCTTGCCCTGGCTGAGGCAGTGTTTCAGCCCTGTACACATGAGCTCCAGGGCTGCACATCAAACTGAAGCTGGCTCAGATCATGCAGGCGATCCCTGTGAATGCCCAACTAACACCCCGGATCAACCACAGCCCAAGGGCATATCCCTCTCCCTCTGGCGCTTGTTCCAGCTAAATGGATCCAAGCATCCCATGGGAGGAAGAACGATTTGGCAATGGGTCAAATCACCCGAAAGCAGAATCATTGTGTGCCAAGTGAAACTTTTCTGGAACAGCCCCGAACAAACCTCTGCTTGCTCCTGCTTTGATTTGCTCCCAGCCCCTTTCCTCCCCAGGCCTGGGTTTAGCCACCAACCAGCAATCACTTAACCTTTGCCTCCAGCGTGCAAAGCTCTCTCGGGGTTTCTCAGCACATTCGAAATGTGATTCCTTGCTCAGAAACCAGAGCTAGTGAGGTATTTGCTGTCTCACATCCCTGCAGCGAGAGCAGGCTTGGTTTTGCAAGACAAGCAACCTGCCAGGAGCAGCAGCAAAACACCAAGGGAAACAGCAGAGATCATGGGACCGGGATGGGTATTTGCCTGGGCAGCTTTTCTGCCCCGAGTCTGATTTCCACCAATATAATTCCTTAACTACAGCAGCTCATTGCTGGAGAAGAGGGAGTTAAGGCTTTGCAAAGAGTCAAAGTTTCTCGAGTCATCCCTGGAGGCATGTCCCATGTACTCGATGTACAACAGAAATGAGAGCTGCTAGTAATTGGTATTTTTCTGCTAATCAAGGGCTGGGCAGATTGCCCTGAGTTGAATAAAGCAGGATATAAACTAGACTGGGATCTGTGAAGAGGGATCCACGCAGCTCCAGTCCTTTCCACTTCCTTTCCCCTGCTTTTCCCCAGCTCCCCAGGGGTGTCTGTCCCTGCACAGTCACTGGGGACTGCAGCAAAGCAGCGTGAGGACAGCAAGGAGGAGGGATGGGTGGATCTGGCAGAGATCAGTCTCCTCCATGTCTCCTGAAGTTGCAGGGCAGTGTCTGACTGCAGGGAGCAGAGCCTGGGCCACCCAGGTCTTGCAGGGACAACAGCAGCACCAAACACCCTCCGTGCAGTGTGGAGTTACAAAGCATGGTCCCAGGGACCCCGCAGAAGAGAAGGCTTTTAAAGCAAGGAGGGCAGGGATTGACATCCCTTAGGACACTGCTATTTCATGGCAGGGAAGTCCCGGCTCTTTAGACTGTCTCTGGCAAACAGAGCCCTGGAGTGCAGCTCCCCCCGACCTCCCGGAGCATGCACAGGACATCAGGAGCGGCTGAGTGCCTGCTGCGGGCTGTGCCGCGGGGCTGGCCCCTTTCCAGCGCTCCTGCCCGCTTTGCTTTCCAAACACTCCCGTTCCTGCTGTCACCGGGAACCGGGACCGAGCCCTGCGGGTTGCTCAGCCCCGGGAATAGCTGCAGCCGCATCCCCCCGCCGGGATGGGGTTGGTGGAGGGACGCCACCGGAGGAAAAAGCGAGGAGGGGGGAGAGGAACAGAGTTTCCCGACGAAGTCCAAGCAGGCGCCCCGCTGCGGTGATCCCCTCCCCCGTGCACTTTGCAGCCCCCTCCCCGAGCGCCGCCGTGCCCCAGCCCTACCTTGTGCAGTAGGGCCTCGTTGTAACCGGCCCCCCCCGAGCCGGCGGTGCGGGCCTCCATAGCCGGGGTGCATGGAACGGCTCCGGCCGCAGGGGGGGCGGGCAGGGCCGCTCCTGCAGCACCGCGGACAGCGCCCGCCCCGCCTTCAGCACCGCGGACAGCGCTCGGCTCCGCCCGGCACGACCCGGTCCAGCTGCGCGGGGGCCGAGGGTCGGCCCGGGCCGGTTGAGCAGAGCAGGGCTGGGTTCGGCCCCGTTCAGCGCAGCACGGATCGGATCGGCTCGGCTCGGCTCGGCTCCCCGCAGGACAGTGGAGCGGTGCCCGGCTCCTGCCGCTGCAGGAGGGGGGGTTGGAATGGCGAGGCCGGTCCCGCCCCGGGGCGGGGAGGCCGTGGAGCTCCCCTCCACGCAGGCAGTTTCCACACTGGTCCCTCTGAGCTCCACCGTCTCCATTCTCCGTGATAGAGGTGCCCCTGGCTCTGCAAAGAGCCCGGTACCGGGGCTCCTCTGCTGACACCCCTACAGCCATCAGCTCACGCTGCCGTTGGGCATCCAGGGGCAATGGCAAAGCACAGACCTGTGTGGTCACCAGGGTTAGCGATGTCACCCCAGCCAGGGACAGTGGCTTGTGATAGACAGGCTATTCCAGTTTCTTCATGAAACTGGTACTAACCTCAGTCTGCTACCCCAGCAGCTCCCCTTTGGAAATTTACAGAGCCCAGTTCGGAGTCCACTTGCAGACAAAAAAACCCAAATTGTATGTAGAAATGGGAGGAAACTGTGCCTAAACCTGGAGGTGACAGTCAATATCTCATTGAGAGCCTTTATTTACAACTCCCTCTAGAGCAATCTGGTGTTGTCTATTAGACTCAGAATAAATTACTGAGGAGTTTATTTAAGAGACTCGATTCAGCCTCCAGTTCCCTCCTTCCAGATCAGCAGACGGCCCCAAGGCAGAGGAACAGACCATGCTTCTGAGAGCCATCTGCACCCATCCGATTGCTGTTTGACTGCCTGGGTCTGACATGCCTAATTATATCTGCCCGTTGTTTCCTCTGACGGCAGAGATGGTTCTTTCAGGTCAGATGGTCAGTTTGGGCAACAACAGCCAGCAAAGATGAAGGACAGCCTAGAGGGACAAGGGGGTTTCAGGCTTGCCCGTGGCCAAGAAGCTAAACTCAGGCAAGCCTGCAGCCAGACTACCCGGTGGTCTCAAGCACTGGAAGGCAATCAACAGCACAAAAATAAGCAATACTGAGAGCTACAGTGGATGGGATAACTTACAAGTAGCCCAGCCAGCACTGTGGTTCAGCATAGTGCACGTACTCCACACCAAATAGGGTCGGGAAGGCAAGATAAGCAAACTTTGGGGGGACAGAGAGCCAGGGCAGCTTTCTGCCCTGTTAAGTACACCAGGCATTTATCAAAAGGACCATGGGCTTCCCATTGCTGTAACGCCCCACCGACAATGGGGTCTTCGTGTTAAAGTGTCTCAAGCACATTCGCAGCCTTCTCCTGCCCCAGAGCTTGCACAAAGCAGGGTATGGCCCTGACCTGAGCTGCCTGCTGGGTCACACGTACCCGAGACCCAGATTTGCTGCAGGCACTGTGTGGCTGCCCTGGGGACCCAAGCTGTGCTGGTGCTCAGACAAACCTCTTCTGGGGGGTGGGATGAACTTAGCCACCAGTGAAGAGGACAGGAAGCCCCCAGTGCACCATAGGTCTGAGATTTCAGTTCTGCTTATCTCTGTAGGGGGATTCCCAACACATACCTGCTGCAGGAGAGGCGCTGGGGCTTGTAGAGCATCCTCTGACCCATCTCAGCTCCAGCAATACTTGTATCCCTTTTGGGTCGTGAAGGAGTACAGCAAGGAACTGGGCAAGAAGAGCCTCATAAAGCCTGATTCTCCCTTCCTCCTGCAGGCACTGGCATTACAGCAGACACATTTAGTCCTGCAGGTTTAACCACACTCAGGAGGAAAGCACTTTTCCTATCTGCCATGATATCGCCAAGTGCAATGCAGCCTAAAGAGACAACGCAGATTGCTGGTAAAAGACAGGCACCAGCACAGCCTGGCGCCGCTCCAAGGGCTTTATAGCACTTTATAGCTCTAGGGGCCTGACCCGTGGCAGATAAGTGCTATCAGCAAAGCCCAGCAGCCAATACACATCATTCTCCTCCCCTCACGCAGCAGTGAATACCTTTCCCCACCATCAAAGCAAAACACTCTTCCCTTCCCAGACCCCAACAGAGGTTTCTGGGAGCCAGCGAGCGGTTTATAGCCCCGGGCAAGCGCTGAGCAGCTGAAATCAGTGCAGAGCAATGAAACCAAAGGAAATGACCTGCAAACGGCAGGAGTGATTTCAAATGAACACGTAAATTAACTCCATTGTTCGCCCATTTGCGGGCAGATCGCATCGCTGATAGCTTGACTCCTTGTTTGTTTGCCTTACAAAGTACAGCTGTAACAGCGGAAGATTTAAATCCAGCCCAGGAGTTTCTGCTTTGCTGTCTCCTCACTCCTGCTCCTTCTACCGACCCATTAACCTGCGGTAGTGTCTCTTTGGACTGCCCATACCACACTCTCTGGGGGAGATCTGAGCCCTACCTAGGTCATTCCTTCCCCATGAGATGGGGAGAATTTAATCCTCTGGATCTGCTGGATTTTGCTTCAGTTCCACTGCAATAAGCCCTGTCTCAGCCCTTTCTGCGCTAGGAATCCAGCCGAAGGCACAGCCGGGACTAAACCCTCCACCACCGCCACAGTCTCCAAGTGTTTCTCTTTTAGTAGCTTTGATAAATCAGGAGATCTGGGAATGATCTGGGTTTATCCTGGTTATCTGAGATGGCAGCGGAAGGGAGAGATCAGGCAGCTCCTGCTCAATCAGCCAGCACCACAGGAGCTGCATTAGCGACCATTATATTCAGCCTTATCTCCTCAGGACCATTTCACCAAAACTGCCGAATCTGCCCCTGAAAGAGGGTCTGAAACACATGGATTAGCTTTTTGGAAGGCCCTGGATTAAATAACGAAGCCGGGCACTGTAAATGTCATTGAAGGCCACGGCGGAGGAGGACTTTAGAGGGGCTCAGCTGTGGTGATGGGATAGGAGCCGGGGAAGATGTTGCACGCACTGATTGATTCAATTGCCGCCTGTTTGCTTTGGGTTCAGATGAATCCAATAAATTCCTCTGCAGGGGGTAACCTAATGAACTACAGTATTGTTGTTGTTCTCTTTGCAGGGGCCTCTGGGGCATCCTGTATTGTCGGGGCTATGTTAGGAGGGGGCAGGAGGACACTCAAAGGGAAGAAGATGAGAGCGGCTGGGGAGCAGCTGAAGCCCGGCCTTTCCATGAAGGTTCATCACCAGAAATCAAGTTACATTCTCCAACCACTTCTTGATTTTAGCACTTGTTGCTTCCTGCAGCGACTCAGCCCAGCTGGTTTTCTAGGAGTGGAGGGGTTAGTTCATAGTCTGAAAGAAACCTCAGAGCTTCCTCTTGGTATGGCAGAGCACAGGGAGTGATTGGGATGGTGGGGAGGAAGCTGCCTTGGTCTCTGGCAGGGCTGGGGAGTTGTGCTCTCTGCCCTTTCCAAAGAGCATAGAGGAAGAAAGCTCTCGGAAAGTCTTTGTCACCCAAAACCCACAGCTGTGACCAAAAAAGACAATTCTGGGGTGAGAAATGAGATGTTTCTGCTTGAGAAACAAACAAAACCACCCCAGCTTGCATTGGTGGCCAGCTCTAGCGCTGAGGAGCAGCAGGGATGGCTGAACATCATCTCAGTTCATCATCCCTGCCTGTCGTTCCAGTTCACCACGACTGGGAGAGCATCCCAACTGGTCCATCTGCATGGGCTGACCTGCACTTGCTCTATCCTGGTTCCTGGACCCCCTGCAAAGACCCCTGAAGCTGTTTGGGCTCTGTGCATGGAGAAGGGGCTGCTTTCACCACTGGGACAGGCATCATCCTGGAGGAACCTGCTGTATTTGGGGAGTTTTGCTGGGAACCAGCCCTGTTCCACAGGAAAAGCAGAGATTCTTTCTCATGAAACACCCCCAGGGTGAGTCATGGTCCTCGGGTGAAGATGAGGAAGCAACTGCCCTTAAATAAGGGTCTGCTCTGCTGGTAAGCATTGCCCACGGAAGCAACGGGAGAAGGAGGCTTGGGAAATTCGTGGGATGTGAACCGGCTCCATCCCACAGGGCGCTTTGTGAGCAGCCACAGGGGAAAATCTGCATCAGGAGCAAGAAGGTGGAAAATGTGGATTTTCCTGCTTTGGATCCTTTTCCTGCTTTGGATCATTTTCCCAGGTGAGATGTGGGAGCACAGGTCAGGCATTTCCTATCCCATGGAGAGGCTGGGACTGAACCAGCCCAGGAAGCCCATCATGGGCACAGCAAGAGCTCAGCTGATGCTGTTCTTTTCTTGTGGCCAGTGGATGGCTACAGGAGGTGATCTTTGAGATATGCTGTTGGATGAGCCCTGGTAACAAGGCTTTTCGTCTAATAACACACATCTGATGGGGGCTGTTTAATGACTGGGGACATCTCATCTCATCATTGCTCCCCAGGACACAGCATTCCTCAGGATGGGATATCCCAGATCTTCCAGAGCTCAGATCCCTCCTGATCCTCTGGGACAATGCCAGTAAGTGCTTGCATCTTCTGTCTCCTGTAGGTGGCTGGGCAGTGACAGGCCCAACGCAGGTGATGGTGAACCAGGGCAGCTCACTGGCCGTGTCCTGCAGCTATGAGCCAGGCTATGAGCTCTACTCCAAGTTCTGGTGCCAGAGGGGCTTCCTCGGCCTTTGCACCTGCATCATCCAAACCGATGGCTCGGAGGTGACAGTGACACAGGACAGGGTGTCCATCAAGGATAACCATGCATCACACTCATTCACAGTGACTCTGGACCGTGTCATGCTGGAGGATGCAGGCTGGTACTCCTGCGGGGTGAAAAGGAAGATGCGGTTCAGCCTGAAGCACAGCACCAAGGTGATGGTCTCCAAAGGTAAAGCCAGGCTAGGAGCTAAGCAGGGGTGTGTGATGGAGCTCATCACTTGGGAGAGGGGATCCCAGCGGGGGGGATCATGGGGGTTGTCAAAGTGGGAACAAGCACCTTGCAGGCACTGAGATGTGCTGGGGCTGCCCCAGTGCAGGTTTGGATGAGGGATGGAGGAGGCTGCACAGAGCAGAGCCTCTCCCTTGCTCCCTTCGGCATCTCTGCTTCCACAAGGCCCTTGGGCTTTCCAGTCTCTCCCAGTAAGCCTCCTCCTTTCTCATCCTCCTCCTCAGTGCCCAGTGCATTGCCTGGAGACCCCCATCTCCTGCACCTCTGTGGCTGCAGTCTCAGGGCAGAGGCCCTGGGGTGCAGGGGATCTCCGCTTTGCTCTCTCTTTCACATCTGTTTCATCCACAGCCGAAGGCAATGATGGGAGCCCGCTGGTCACCATGGCCTTTGGGGACCCTCCAGTGCTGTAAGTCAGGGCTCAAGCCCCCAGTAGCATCCCCTGCCCTAAGACACCTCTTTCCCTCAGCCCTGGGTCAGTTGCAGCAGCTCCAGGGAGCATCCCAGGGGATGCAGGGCAGACATGTGAGTGTCCCGGTCCCCATCCCCATTGCCCAGACTCAAGCTCCAGCACCATCTCCTTTCTCTTACCCAGGTCCCAGCTCAGCATCACCTACCTGCTGCTCATCCTCTGCGTGAAGGTGCCCATGGCACTGCTCATGGTGTGTGTGGCTGTCTGGGTAAGGAGCCAATGCAGGAACCGTGGCCAGGAAATCCTGCAGCTCTGAGGCAGCCGATAACAGGGCACTGGGATGCCCAAAACCACCCCAGCCACAGAGCCCCCCTCCTGCCCCTTTACCCACCACTGTGCTGGGGTTGTGCTGCCCATCACGGCCACCCTGCACCAGGATGTGCTCGGCTCCATGGACTTCTCCCCCTGTGAAGCTTTGGCCCCTCCTGGCAGTCCCTGCACTGGAAAAGGGAAGGTTTGGGGCACAAAGAGCCTGAGTCTGCTGAGCTGGAGCTGCCAATAAAGGTGTGCAATGAAGCCTGGGTGAACTGCAGGTACCTGCCTGTCTGTGTGCCTGTCAGGGTGCTGGTGGATGCTGACGGTGCTCACATTGAGCTCCTTTTCTCATCGCTCCCATTGTTTCCCAGGTTCTGTGCCTCCAAAAAGCAGGCACTCGAATAGTGATGAAATCCATCAGAAACCCCGCTCCTCCCGTGTCCTCGTGTCCCATGGGGTGGCGGACATCCGCAGCCACATCAAGGAGAGCAGCGTGGCCACCTCCGTCCTCCTTAGGGTTAGGCCATGCCCCACTTTCCATGGTACAATCGGCTTCACCAGTGCCCCTCCATGAAGCTTTAGGGAAGAGTTGCTTCTCTTCAGCTGTTTAGGGAACCAAAATGAGGAGCAAGGAGCAGGCATGGACCAGGAGCTCATATGATTGAACCCCTATGGTAAAACACCCACTGCAGCCTCAGCCAAACTGATTGGAGGGAACTGAGTTTGGGGTCCCTGCATCCACTCTTCCTGCTGGGCTCACAGGGGCCAGGGCTGAGCTTCCACCCCCTGCAGTCCCTCCTTGTTTATTGTCTGCTCCTGGTGGGTTTGAAGGGTGAGCCCCCATCCAGGGCACTGTCAAATGGGGGCAGTGGGGACAGTCCTGCCCTAGAGGCACCATGGGTGTGGAGAGGGGATGGAGGTGGCAGCTCCAAGGCAGAGCCATGGGGCTTATTCCCTGCTGGGAAGCAACTGCACAGGGACCCCTGGCAGCCCAGGTGGTGCTCAGAGCAGGGAGCCATCATTAGGGGCCAGGCATGAGGCAGGGACAGGGGCAGCTCAGTTGTGTCTCCACCAGGGAACATGCTTGGCTCTGCTAAACTGGAACCAACTGTTGGTGGTAAAGATGTCTCATTGCCACCACTAAGGCCAGAGCTGTGCTGGTACCAGCAGTGAGCAAAAGCCAGTGGCTGTAGGAGGCGGATCCTGCGACACCCAGCGTGGGTCTGGTTCCTGGCTGTGGGCTCTGTTTGTCCTTCCTGTGTTTGCCTGTCCCCAACCTCACCCCTGGGGAACTTCTTCCAAAGGGTTTGCCCAATGCAGCGCAGGATCAGCAATTCACATATGGGTGGGAGGGAGGATGCTGGGGGGGACTGGTTCTTTCAGGGGATAAGGGATGGGGGCACAAAGGGAACACCAGGAGACCTGACTTGGGAATAGAGCTACCAAGCCATGGAGGATCTGTGCTGGGAAAGGCAGTGTAGGGTGGTGCTCTGGCCAGGGCAATGGGGATGGGTGCCCATGTCAGGGACAGGAGGCCCATGCAGCACTGCCCCCAGGCTGGCAGCGTGTTTGGGGCTCATGGGGTCCCTATGCAGCACTAAACCACCCCTTGAGGTAGATCCCACACTGGGGGCCCTGCCTGGCCAGAGAGGATGGTGAGATGCAGGTCTGCACCTCATTGTGGGGGCCATGGTGATGGCTAAAAGGGGAGCCCCTGGGGCAGGGGAAGGAAGGGGGACAAGAGCGGGGACAGTGCAGGGCAGAGCTCCCGGTGACAGCGGGGCAGGAAGTCAGCTGAGAGCAGCGGATAAAAGAAAGCCCACGCTTTAGCTAAGAGCCTGTGGTACCCCCGGTAGAAGAGGAAGCAAAGCCCCAGAGACACAAGGAAGAAGGAGCAGGAAAGGCAGGGCTGCCCTGATGCCCTGCCCAGGCCAGCCTGCCGTGCGGCTCCTGCTGCTGCCCGCCTGCATGGTGCTGCCAGGTAGGGATGAGGGAGTCCCTGGGGCTCAAGCCCACTCTTGGAGCTGCCCGATGGGGCAGGAGGTGTCGGTGCAGCAGCGGCAGTCCCACTGCTCCGTGTGTCTCTGCAGGCTGCTGGGCGGTGATGGGGCCCGGTGCCGTGCGGGGCTTCGTGGGGGGGTCCCTCTCGGTGACCTGCGCATACGAGCCCGGCGATGAGGAGATGCCGAAGTTCTGGTGCTATCAGGGAAGCGTTTTCACCTGCGGTGCTGACATCGTTCTCACCTCGGCGCTGAGCCCCGTGGTGCGGCGAGGCCGGGTCACCATCAAGGACTATCAAAGAAGACGGGTGTTCACGGTGACCATTAAAGACCTGGTTGCGGAGGACGCCGGCTCCTACCGCTGCGGGGTGCGAACGGGCAAACTGAAGCGGGATAAGAGCGCGGATGTGCGGGTGATCGTGTCCCCAGGTGAGTCCCTGCACATCCCTCTCCCCATCACCAGTGACCATCACGGCTGGGGGCCGGAGCTGGGCTGCGGGAGGAGCTGGGATGCTGCGGGTGGAGGGATGGAGCCCGGCAGCACCCGCTGTATCTGTTCCCTCTTCGAATCTGCAGCCCCGTGGCTCGGGCATAAACCACCCGTTCCGCCGAACCCCCCCCGGCCTCCCGCGGCAGGGACGGAGCCTCCACCGGGGACCCCCGGCCCCTTCCGCTACTTCCCGGTGCTGGCCGGGCTGCAGGTGCTGGCGCTGCTCGCCATGAGCGGAGCCGTGCTCTGGGTCACCCTGCGCTGCGCATGAACCGCGGCCGGCACCGCTCCGCCTCGGCCCCGACGGCGCGGGCAGGGGGCAGCGCCGGGACCTGGCCGGGCCCTTCCTGCCTCCACCGGCGGCTGCAATAAAGCTTCTCCGACCCCGCTCCGCGCCTCCGCCTCTTCTCTGCGGCACTTCCCGTGCTCGGGCAGCCCCGGGGGTCCCTGCGCTCCGCCCCGACAGGGCGGCCCCGGGGGCGGGCCGGGCCCCACGGCCCCACGGAGAGGAACCGGGCGCTGCAGGACGCCGAGCGCCGCCGTCCCGGAGGGGCCATGCGGCTCCTGCCTCTCCTCGCCTGGGCACTGCTGCCAGGTAAGGCCGGGCCGGAGCCCCCGAGCCCCGCAGCAGCCCCGACGGGCCGGGCTGGAGCACTGCCGGGGTCCGTGTGTCTCCGCAGGCTGCTGGGCGGTGACGGGGCCCGGCACCGTGCGGGGGTTCGTGGGGGGGTCCCTCTCGGTGACCTGCGCGTACGAGCCCGGCGATGAGGAGATGCCGAAGTTCTGGTGCTACCAGGTGAGCTTTTTCACCTGCGTTATCGACATCGTTCTCACCTCGGCGCTGAGCCCCGTGGTGCGGCGGGGCCGGGTCACCATCGAGGACAATCGTGCACAAAGGGTGTTCACGGTGACCATTAAAGACCTGGTTGCGGAGGACGCCGGCTCCTACCGCTGCGGGGTGCGAACGGGCAAGCTCAAGTGGGATAAGAGCGCGGATGTGCGGGTGATCGTGTCCCCAGGTGAGTCCTCAGCGTTGCTTTGTCCCACTCCATGTGCTGGGATCGGAGGCTCCAGTGGGATGCAGCCAGGAGCAGGGGGTGCCCACATTGCCTGTGGCAGCCCCAGCCTATGCCACCCGGTCCCTGCAGGCTGCTGCTGTGGCAGATGCCACCTCCACTGGTTCTCCATGATGGGGTCTTGGCATGGCCCTGTCTCGGCACCCAAGGGTCAGCCCCCCCAACACTGGGGTGCTCCAGACCTTCGGATCCTGCTGGCTCTGTGCTTTACTTGCCTTTATAATACTAAGAGCTCCCTCACCCCCTTGTGTCCCCTCATTACCCACTGTGGGGCAGCCAGTGCCTGTGCGCTCTAAGCTTAGGGAATGTCGCTGTCTGTCCCCTTGCCAAGGGTGTTATAGTACCGGGAATGGGGTGCCCAGACCGCCTTCTTGGAGGGTGAACTCTGTTGCATGCATGTTTGGGGTGGGGGGGACTGAGGCCATGAAAAGCCTCCTGGGCAGGGGATTACAGTCCTCTCAGCTGAAGGAGCATGCTCTGGATGTGGCAGAGGGGACCCAGCTTCTCCTCCTGTGACAGTAAGTGGGCCGCTTGTGATCCACTGCAAACCCCACATCCTTTATCCGCTGCAGAGGCAGGGTGCCTGACCAGCCCTCTCCTCTTTCATTACAGCTCCTTCCTCCTCCTCCCCAGCATCGCCCCATGGCTCCACCACTGCGCACCTGGATCTCATCAGCTCTGTATCAGTCTCCACACAGGCAAATCCCCAGGGGGAAGCTCTGCAGCCAGGATCAAATCTCTCCCACCACAAAGGCTCCAGCGTTCCGCAGTGAGTACCAGCTCCTGCCCACAGTGGCCACCTCCCTCCATGAGGGCTCTGGTGTAGCTGGAGCCCTGCGACCTTCCAGGCTCTTCACACCTCCCTTAAGGATTCAGACCCTTTGCCTTTGGGACCAGTGTTCCATCCTCTCACCCAGCCACTCCTCAGGAAAGTAATCCCAACATCCCTGGTCGGTTGGCCCTGGCAAAGCTCTGCTTGTCCCATGTCCATCTTGCAGCTTAAGGCAGGCGTGGGTTATCACTGTGTGAGAACTGGCTCCTCGCTGCAGCACTGACTCCATTTCCTTCCCCAAACCTCACTGTTTGCTTATGGGATCCCAAGTGCTGAGCTGGATCCCTTTTCGCTCTGTAGTCACATGCAGCCCGTCAGAGGGAGTTGAGAAAGCGTGAGACCGGAGCTTTGTTCCTCCTCTCCTGCCTCTTGGCCATGATGCAAGCAGCAGGCAAAGCTGAGGCTTCCCATCCGCATGCTCAAGGGGCAGCTGGCACACTTGGCCCTGCTGTCCATTATAAGTTCAACAAAGAGTGGAGCTAAACCAGTGCTAAACCAGGTGCAGGATCTGATCCTTACAGTGATGAAGATGCAGCAGCTCTCAGACCTCAGCTCCTGTTTGCTTCTGCAGGTTTCAGTGTGCTTTGCTCTGTGCCCAGCCTTCAGCTGACCCCCCAGGCCCCATCATCCCTGTGTCTGCCCCCCATGGGCTCCTCTCCCGCCTGCTTCTGAGAAGTACGAGAACAGGAACTCTCTTTTGTGTTGCAGCTTGGATGTAGTTGAGCACATCCTCACTCCAGGCATCGTCGTGGTTCTCCTTTTGCTTGCAGCTGCTGTTGGTGTTCTGGTAACACTCACTAGGAAGAGGAAGAGGGGTAAGTGAAGCTGTCACCTCTGCACACACTGTTTCTGCACCAGGGGCCATCTTCTCATATATTTGGGGTTTTCTTTTCCCTCTATATTTCTTTTTTCTCCCCCATTCCCTCCCTGATCCATCCAGTTCCTGGGTCCATCGCTGACACCTCCACCAATGTGGTCTCCTTCCCCTGAAGGAGCAGTGGGACCATCCCATGGGTCTCATCCCGATGGGAGCAGGGAATGGCAGCTCTTGGGATGGGTGCTGCTCGCTATGGCACCCACTTGAGTTTGCATGGGCTCCGTCAGCTTGGAGAAGCTCAGTTGCATGCTCAGAGCTTACACTAGGCTTGGTGCAGGGTTTAATGCCAGTGTGATGGATAGGGAGGGATAAGAGGGAATGACACCAGCTGGAAGGGGGGTATGGTTTTATTTGGAGAGCTCCACTTTGGATGGTTGATGGGGCAATTATGGTGAATGCCATAGTGCAGGATTTTAATACATTTAATTTCCTCTGGTTTCACTCATGTCCGACCACATCCGTGCTTCAGCAGCCCCCTCCGGAGCAGCTGTAGAGATGGACAGGACAGGCAGCGTGTCCCATACAGTAAGACAAACCCCACTGTGCTCAGAGCTTGCTTGGAGAGGGGAAACAGGCTGCCAGAGCCCTTTGCTTTCAGCCTCGTTCATGGCCCTTTAGGCTGGGAGGGATCCATTGGGCTCCATTTGCCGACAGAAAGGCCCAAGCAGGGGTTCAGTGCAGAGTGTTCCTGTGAAGGGAATTCCGCACTGAGCCGAGGCTGCGGGCACGGAGCAGCAGGAGGGGAAGGGCTCATCCCTCTCCTCCCGTGCCAGGGAGCAGATGCCTTGAACTACGCGGACATCAACCACGGCGCGAGCACTGCCGAGAGCCGGCTGTACGGCAACAGCGAGGCACCGCGCTGCTCGGCAGGCACCACGACCGAGTACATGGAGGTCAAGCAGAGGGACAAGGTGGGAGCAGGCAGAGCGGTGCCGAGCTCGGGGTGATGGGGGGAAGCTGGAGTGGATGGGAGATGGTGTGGGCAGGGATGCGCCAAGCCGGTGTGAAATGACACTGGGTAATGTGGGTGTCCTCGCTGGTCCCCAAGCTGCTCCTGGGTGCTTAAAGCAGCTGAGAGAGGCTCCAGCAGCGGGTGTTGTCCTGGAGCATCCCCATCATGGATGTGTTTTGGTTCTCCTCTGCTTTCCCAGCATTTGGAAGAGAAGAGCGAGCCCACGTACGCCACCGTGCGCAGGTCCCTGCCGGAGCAGCAGGAGATCTATGCCAACGTGCCGTCAGCTCCACAGAGGGGAGAGCCCCAGAGCACAGCGCAGAGGGAGTGAGCCAGCCCCTGGTCCATGGGCTGCTCCTGCTGCCGGCAGCACCAGCGGGACTTCATTGGATGCACATGGAGGGCAGTGGGCTGGCTTGCTGTTCATGCAGGAGCCGGCTGGACAGAGGAGCTGCTGCTCTTGTAGGCTTGGATGTTTCCTTGGAGCAGCCTCAAGGAGGCTGAGGATGAGCAGGAGGCACGGGGCGGGATGAGGATGGAGTCATCCCTCTGCATTTGGAGACCTCACCTGCGCAGCAGTGATGCTGGGAATAAATGGACTGGCCAGGCAGTGGTGGGAGAGCCCTGCAGGCTCTGCCTGGCTCCCTGCATCCAGCACCCATCCTGCTTGCCCCTTTGGCTGTTATTCACAGGGACTGAAGCTCCCAAACCCATTGATCACCTCAGATTGGCTTTTCTCATGTTGATGGCAGGCAGAGCTGGCAGCAGGAAGCAGGATAGCAAAATGTGCTATATCCAGATGTATTTGTTATATCCAGATACCGGGGGCTTGGGTAGGGTATCGGTGCAAAAGATACAGAGAGGAGCTCCTGTTCCTCCTGCACAGCAGCTTGGAAGTGTCCCCCCTGACCCCTGGTCTCACATCCCCATTGAGGTTTGCTCCTGCTCTCTCTGCCCCACCATTCCCAAGGAACTCCAGGCTGGGAGCACACGGATAAGCTGTAACCGTGATCCTGCTCCTCTCTGCTTTCCTGGTAACTTATTTCATGGCACCTACTCAATACATCTGTTTGTGAGGCTGAGGCAAGCGTATTTCAGGGGTTCATTTGGAGAGGGTCTGTTAACTTCAACTGCTGCAAAGCTTTGGTTCAGTATTGTTATAACTATCTTATTTGAGAAGCCACATGGAGCATCCCTGCTCTGGCAAAGCCAAAGACTGCTGGAAGTAAGTGCCTATGGTACAGCAGTTGTGGTTATTCCTGTAGGTTATTCCTATATAAGCTTGTATTCTTCTATAAGCAAAATTCCCCCTCTGTTTGGTCAGGAGGTGCGATCCCTCCTTCCAACCCTGCCTGAGGCTGGGCTCCAGAGGATGGCACAGGCAAGCATCACTGCTGTGGCTTGTAATGAAATGAGCATCCCTCCAGATTCCAGCCATTGCAGGGAAAAAAGGGAAAGCAAACCCACTCATTGCTCCTCCTGCTGCCCCCTTTATTACTGGAGACAACAACGCCCCCTCTCTGAAGGAGCTGGGAGGAGGAATCAGTTGGAATTCTTAGGTACTTGGGTCCCATTATGCCATAGCTGAGGGCAGGTTTTATGCTTTAGGACAAGAACAGGGAGAAAGACAAACTCCCAACAGGACAGAGATGGGAGAGCCCCCCCTGCATGGCTCCTTCATGGATTGCTGCTGCCTGCAACCCCCAGTTCACACATAAGGATTGATGGGGCAGACGGGATGATCCAGGCAGAGAAGGGGATATTCTTCTACTCCTGCCACCCCTGCAGCTCTTGGCTTTCATGGCCACGGATCATGGAAGCTGCCCTGGAGCTCAGAGGGCTGCACATGGGCCCGGAGTCCTTTGGGTGTGTGTCTGGGAAGGGGTTTGCATCTCCTCAGGTTTCAGTGCAGCAGCAGACGGGTGTTTTACCTGCAGGACAGGTTTGTGCCCACGCCTCGTGCAGGGGTCTCCAGCTCTCACTGTGACAACGCGATGGCTCTGTGTGTACACACGTGCCCACAACACGTACCTGCAGGTGCATACATGCATCCTGAGGCACAGCAGCAGATGTAAATGTGTGTGTGTGCATCCCAGCGTGCACATGTGTCTGCGTGTGTACACATGTGGACATCCAGTGCACACAGGCAGCTACTGCAGTGCACACATGGCCATGCACTGCCCCCACACGCACAGGAGCACATGGACACTGTGCACATGCACACAACACAGGCATCCAAGGACACACGTGCATAACTGCATGCACACCCTGCTGCACATAAGAACATGGGCATGGGCACTGCAATGCACACATGCACATACACAAAGAGTAGACACTCCAGTGCATACACGCACACCCCGGTGCACAGATGCGCATGCATACATGTTACACATGCACGTGCCAGTGCCCTAATGCACAGTCATTCACACGTGGTGCACACATGCATGAACACAGGCATACACAGAGGTTCTATGATTCTATATACATATACTCATGGTGCACACATGTATGTATAGGGATGGCTGCATGCACACCCTAGTGCACACGTACGCATACAGGCATGCCGATGCCAGTACACACACATACCCCTGTGTATGCGTGCACGCACAACCACACACACACAGAGACACCCGGGTGCATACATGCACACGTGACAAATGTGTATGAAGATAGGCTGAGAAAGTTGGGGCTGTTCAGCCTGGAGAAGAGAAGCTGCGTGGAGACCTCATAGCAGCCTTCCAGTATCTGAAGGGGGCCATAGGGATGCTGGGGGTGGACTCTTCATTAGGGACTGCAGTGATAGGACAAGGGGTAATGGGTTAAAACTTAAACAGGGGAAGTTTAGATTGTATAAGGAAGAAATTCTTTCCTGTTAGGGTGGTGAGGCACTGGAATGGGTTACCCAGGGAGGTTGTGAATGCTCCATCCCTGGCAGTGTTCAAGGCCAGGTTGGACAGAACCTTGGGTGCTCCGGTTTAGTGTGAGGTGTCCCTGCCCATGGCAGCGGATTGGAACTGGGTGATCTTAAGGTCCTTTCCAACCCAAACCGTTCTATGACTCTATGAACATATGCACACTCTGCTGCACACATGAACAGGCATGCACACACACACACACATGCACACACACACGCATTCACATACATGCACTAACACGCACCCACCCCGCGGTGCACACACGCAGAGGCACACGCACACAGTCATGGAGCACGGGGATGGGTACCCGCGCACTTTAGTGCCAAGACGCAGTCGCGCACACACGCATGAACACGCATGAACACGCATGAACACGCATGAACACGCATGAACATACATGAACACGCACCCCCCTGCGCGCTCACACACGCGCGCTCCCGCCCCCCGATTCCCCGCCCCGAGCCCCGGCTGCGCATGCGCGGTGCCCGGTGCCGGTGCCGGTGCCCGCCCAGCCGCGGCGGAGCGGCCCTTGACCATGGTGGCCCCGGGGCGGGCGCGGAAGCTGGCGCGGCGCTACCGGCTGGCGGTGGCCGCGGCTCTCGCCATCCTCCTGCTGCAGGGGCTCGTCCTCTGGACCTCGGCCGGCCTCGACGAGGAGGGACCGGGAGAGGTGCGCCGAGAGGCGGGGCCGGGGGGGAGGCCGGACCCGGGGCCTGCCGGCGGGGAACGGGGATGAGGAGGGTACCGGGGTGATGAAGGGGCCGGAGGTGGGTACTGGGGATGGCGGGGTGGGAGGAGGGTGGTGCGTGCTGAGATGGGGCTCTTGTGGGGGGGCGGACGCACACGGTGCATAGGGAAGAAGGGGCTGACGTGTCCCCTTGCTGTGGAGCATGGAGGGGACACAAAGGGGGTGTTGTGTTCCCCGTAGGGTGTCGCAAGGTCCTGCCCCAGGCCCGGTCGGTGGGGTGGATGCGGGTCCCGCAGTCCCCGGGCAGGGGTGGGCAGTGGGATGCTGCCTGTGAGGGGCTCTGGGTGCAGGAGTGCGGGGTCATCATGGCACCAGAGAAGGGATCTTGTGGTCCAGGTTGGGGTCTGGTGTGGGGTGGGAGGCAGAGCGGGGTCCTGCGCTTCTCCATGGGGTGGGAGATGCTGCAGGAAGCTGGGGTCAGCGATACCCGGCTGGAAAATATGGAAGTGTTAATTCAGAGAGCTGGGAGAGTGTGTGCACGGCTTGGGAAGTTTGTGGCAGCTCCTGTTTAGCTGCTCCAGTCAGGAATATCCCTGTGGAGTGCAAGGGTATGAGGGCCTTTGATGACAGTCATTGGATGTCTTTGTACCAGAACACTGCTAAGGCAAAAGGCATCACCTCTTATGTGTGGGGAAACTGAGGCACGGGCTGGCGAAGGTGTTTGCCCAAGGTCAGACACAGAGCTCCTTAATGTAAGGAGGATGAGGATGGATCACGTTGCTGCAGCCTTCAAAGCTCTTGACTTCTGCGTTGCTTATTTGAATTCATTTCTTTGTTGTGAGCTGCTGGACCACGTCCAGACCCCTTCCATCTGCATGGACCAGTGGCTGGAATAGGTTTCTCCAAGGGCTGAGAGCCCCTGTGTGGGCTTCTTTGGTGCATGTGTGTGTGGCACCACGTCCCCTCAGCTTGGGCAGGACCCTCATGTTTCAGGGGCTGTGGAGACTCTTTAAGAGGCGCAGACAAGGTGATGGTGACGCCAGGTTTGGGGTGAGCTTGGAGCTGTGAAGGAGCAGGCGTGGGGTGAGCTGTGGCAGAGCAAAGCCAGTGCCATGAGGTGAGAAGTGGGGAACTCTGGAGGGATGAGAGCTTCTCCCTCCCCACTGTGGAGGGTGACCCCACAGCTCTTTTCATAGGACTAGGAAGTTGTCCATGAGAGCAAAGAGGTGGGAAGAGGAACTGAGCAGCCCCGTGTAGGGGGAAGGTCTCTTAAGATGAGCAGATAAATCCCCAGCCCCAGGCCATTGGGAATGGTGTGAGCACCCTCATATGCTGCCATATGCTCACCACCAAAACAGAGCCAGGGACTGAACGCATCAAGGAGAGGGGTCACGGTGTTGCCTGCAGTCTGGAGGCACTGAGAACAGAGTGATCCGGCTGCAGGAGCACCTGGCATCCCCTTTCCTGTGACCTTGATCAAATCCCTTCACCAGTCCCGGCTTCCTCTGCACTGTCCTGAGCTGCTTCTCTGCTTTTCCCTGCTCCTGCCCTGCGCTGTCTCCTGGGTTGGTTCATTCTGCCTCGGTCCTTGCCTGGTTTCCTCATGTCTCTTCCCAGAACTGGGTGAGCAGTTGACTGGTTTGGCCATGGGTCCTGTCCCCTGGAGAGGGGATGGTTCACCACCAGCAGCACTGACTCCGGGGCTTGGGAATGGGAAGGAGTCTCAGGAGAAGGTGTAAATGTCTCCTTCCCACTAGTGGATACAGCTCTAACCTGGCTTCTCCATTGACCTACTGTCAATGGGCTGTGACTTGCTGTAGAGATTGAAAGGAGACTTGAGTCGTGCAAACGCCATGGAGCATCTGGAGTTGGGTGAGCTCACCTTCCCCTGCAGCCCTGGGAGGTGCTCCCGAAAGGGCTGCTCTGATCTCTGCTGCTGACAACCCTTTCTCTGTCCTCCTTGGTTCTTGTCTGGTTTCCTTGTCTTCCCTTCACAGGGGAGGGAAGAGCATCCCCTCCTTGGCAGGCTCCAGTCCTGGTGGCTCCCTGGTGTGAGCTGCGCAGAGTCTGAGTGAGGCCCTTTGCCCTTCACCAGAGCAGGCTGTGAACCCATCTCACACCAGCAGCAGGCTTCAGCCACATCAGAGCCATGAGCCAGCCCTGCCCTCCTTGAGAAGGCTGTGCTGCTCGGGTCACGTCGCTGCTCTTTCCAAGCCCCGTTTCAGGGTCCTGCAGGCTCCCTTTGTTCACCACGCCGATGCTTTATGGCGTGCAGACCAGCACAAACTGGATCAGTTTCTGTCCACCCAGGCCAGCACGGAGTTTCCTACCTCCAGGAAGCCAAATGAGCTTGACTGATGGGAGAAGAAATTCCCTAGCCCTTTGCTAACAGCATCCCTGCTGCAGACAGCACAAGCACACAGATGTGGGTACTGGAGGGACCAGAGTGATCCTGTGTCAATGTTAATCCTCCACGTGCTGTGGCCACCAAAGCAGCTTCCTATAAAACATCTTTCCTTTCAGCTTTGCTGAGATTCCTTGATTTTTATTATTCCCTGAAAAAAAAGCCTGGTTTTAGGGGGCTGTTTCAGCTGTTTTAATTGTGAGGTTTAAGGCTTTGCTGCTG